TATAGCTGTAGACATCTTATGTATTGATATGAGGTGAACATTATGCTCCATTGTGTTGAGACACTCACATGATATGTGCTTCTAACTGAGCTGCTGCATCTAGCTGTCAACCTCCATATTTTTACCCCTAAATTAAAATGAGCTTACAATTTGCATTAGTCAGAGTCGAAGGCTAGTTTGTACAACTAGTAAACCCTAAACAAATTCTGTATCATTGATTCTTGATTAATACTCCCTCAGTCCCAGTTGTAAGTTAAGATTGCTATGGGGTAGATGGGTGTGTGTCTCAAGACTCTCAACTTTAAAGAAAAAGAAAAATCATACCGAAAGTAGAAAGTTAACTTAAACATAGAATTAGGGTGCTTTATCTTTTTTTGTATATAGATTTTACTGGGATAGTGGGAGTATTAGAAAATAGCAATCTTCAGTCAGTGAAAGGCTGAAAGCCATTCTATACTAACTATAGATATATACTGCTGTCATGTATGCTTGATTTGTCCTTGAAAGATAATATGATCATAATCACGTCTTGCAGAAAAATGGAAGACTCGAAATCACATTGCTGGAAAACACCACCTTTTTCAATGAAGAAGGTAAAGACAAGAAGATAGTATTATAAAACTTGCACCAGATTGCTCAGAGCTTCAAGCAAAATATTGAAGAAACTAGATTTGTTGCAAAATATAGTCCATGTCAGGCTTATTATAACAACGCAATATGTAATGCTAAGTTAGAAACATTGGTCTTGCAGGCTTGGCAAATGAAGCATCAACGACAAAGATCACATATTGTGGAATGGGTCCTTCCTTGTGCCACAGCCAAGTAAGACTTGCATATAGGCATCTGATTTTCAGGATATGGAGTCTTCCATGTTTTCCCAGGCACAAGACAGTCGATAGTCATTAGATCATTATGGTTAATAGCTGAATTCAGACATTAGAAAACAGTTTGTAGTACTGGACATGTATAACTTTATTTTTCTATGGTGCTAAAATTTTCCCGATAAGGTATGACATTCAAGAGACCAGCTAACTTGATCTACTCTAGTAAATAACTAAATGGATGTAATGAAACTCATTTTTAGTGCGAAGAAACTAGATTTGTAGCTAATTAGTTAGTTGATACTATGCTCAGTGCTCAGATTCTGAAGTTAATGATAGAATATGAAGATTGTTTATTGGCTCAAAGGGAACTACTCTACTCATTAAATACAGGTTCCTTGTTATTTTATTTCCTGGAGTATATACATTATGCCACATTCCGACTCAGGATCCCTTTCCAAAATTTGCCAAAGATAAGATTGAAGGCCCTCAAGGGTTGCAATCCCTCACATCTCAATCAGATTTGGGTTAGTGAGATAGTCCCTTACGGAGTGCTGGGATGGTTAAGGGGATAAAAGTGCCCCTAGTGTGGGATTAAACCCCTCACCACTATACACGGGTTAGAAAATTTTTCTTTTTTGCTTGGTCAATCTTAGCACAGTATGAACATACTATAAATACAACATAACTTTAAAATCAGAACGTTTAAAATAATACGCTATTTACACTCATTTGACCTTCTTTCGTAATACATACGTGTATACTTTGATATATAACTCTCCAAATGATTATTTCCACTCTGTCTACAAGACACCCTTAAGATGCCTTTGTGAAGCTATCCCAGTGATGGTGACTAGTGAGTGTCTCTCCATGGAGATCTTTTCATGTGCGGGCCAAAAAATGGGGACGTTTTACCAAATTGAGCTTTAAACGGAAACTATTGACAAAAATGGTTGCGTGGCAAAACTATTTACCAAACTAAGCTTCCAGGGTAAATCGCTGTCTCGGACAGCGTTTTACCCCTGGTTTTTTTTTTTAAAAAAATTCAACTGGTAAACGCTGTCCCAGACAGCGTTTTACCTTCTGTATTTTTTTAAATTCAGTAGGGCATAAAACGCTGTCTCGGACAGCGTTTTATGCTTGGGTTTTTTTTAAAAAAAAATTCAATGGGTAAAACGCTGTCCGAGACAGCGTTTTATTCCCTGTTTTTTTTTTTTTAAATGAAACGCTGTCCGGGACAGCGTTTCATGGCCATATATCAGCATGTTCACTTCAGCAGAATGCGCAAGAACTCAACCTCAACCTCAACGCTTTCCCTCCTCCCTCTCACACTAAACCACGACCGTACTCAAACACCCGCATTGCCGCCGCCGCCCACCCTTGCGCCACCGCTGCTGGCGACACCTTGTTGCTGCCCTCCTCCCTCTCACACTCACTCACTCAATTTCGTGGTTAGCCCTAAACTGAATTTAGTGTAATTGCATAGTTATTGTGGTTAATTATTGTGAATTGTATGTAATTGCTCTTACTTGTTGTTAATTCATGTCAATTGCATGTAATTGTTGCTAATTATTAATGAAAATGTGGTACATTGTTGATAATTATTGATGGTGATGTGGTACATTGTTATTGAAATTGTTCATGACATTGGTGAAGTTGATGATGGTGAAAATGTTGAAGTTGTTAATGGTTGAAATTGGTGAGAAGAGATGAAATTGTTGAAATTATTGAAATAGTTTAGGTTGAAATTGTTGAAATAATTCAAATTGTTCATGAAATTGTTGAAATTGGTGAAGTTGTTGAAAGTGAAGTTGTTATAGGTGAGAAGAGTCTTATTTCAGTGTTGATAATTTACCTCGCTCTAGATTTCGATAATCCTAAAATGTGTTTTGGTTATGTAGAATATGGCGTCACAAAATGTAGTTTTGTTATGCCGGTGGGGAGGAGAAATTCTGTTTGATGGACCCCGGGTCGAGTATAGTGGGGGAAATATGGAACCACTAACACTAGAACCGAACATGATTATGAATGATTTGATGAATGAGGTTCATAGTAGTATTGGTTCAGACCCGATGACCGTTGACGTACACATTAAAATGAGGTTTGAGACCGGCAATGGGGTTCAAGTGTTACCGGTTTCTACGAATAAGCATGTGACAGCTCTAAGGAACGTTGTTGCAATGAAGGGTGTTCCCACTGAAATATATGTGGAAACGGTGCGTTGTGTGGAAGTACAAAGCGTTGGTTGACGGTGTTTACTACAGCAACATGGAAGTGTTTGAAAGAGTGTTTTGGGCGTTTGGCCCTTGTATCGACGGTTTTAAACATTGTATGTCAGTTATCTGTATCGATGGGACGCACTTGTACGGGAAGTACAAAGGAACACTGTTGGTTGCTACAAGTGTTGATGCAAACTTCCAAGTATTTCCTCTAGCATTTGCGTTGGTTGAGGGGGAAAACACCTCCAGCTGGTCTTGGTTCCTGGGTTGCATTCGGGTTCATGTCACTCAACGAGATGGCCTTTGTGTTATATCTGACCGACATCTTGGGATCATTGCAGCAATGACTGATCCGAACGTTGGATTTACCGAGCCGCGAGCCTATCACAGATTTTGTGTTCGCCACATAGCTTCTAACTTGAAGACTCACGTGCGACGAAACGACATGAGAGATATGTTCAAGGCTACGGCGTACCAAAGGCAGGAAAGAAAACTACACGGCGATCTGTGTTTCATTAGTGAGGCGTGTAACAAGGCAATTGAGTACATTGTTCAAATTCCGTTCACCATGTGGTCCCTCTTTCACGACGCTGGACGTAGATACGGGATTTGCACTACTAACTTCTCTGAGACATTCAACAACGTGTTGAAGGGAGCACGGTTTCTACCGATCATGTCCCTAGTCGAGTTAACTTTTCATAGAGTTAACAAATATTTCACTTTGAGAAGGGAGTCTTCTGAGGCAAGATTTGAACAGGGACTTGCATACCCCCCAAGGTCACTGCCATTCTAGAGAAGAACACCGCAGAAGCCAGATATCACAGAGTGGATGCGTATAACCGTCGATTGCATATTTACCAAGTTACAACAGAAAGGGGAGACCGACTTGGTAGTAAAGGAGGCCATAAACATACTGTTAACTTTCAGTTAAGAACGTGTACCTGCAACAAACCTACGATATTTCACCTCCCATGTTCTCACGTTCTAGCCGTATGTGCAACGTACTCACTATCAGAGCGGCCGTGGGTTGACCCGGTGCTGCAATCGGAGGCATACACGAGCACATACGCGCCGCAATTCTGGCCAATCCCTTGCGAGACAACCTGGACGCCCTATAACGGTCCCAGAATCATTCCCGACGGGAGCATGTTGCGTGGAATAGGGCGACCAAGGTCAAAGCGCATACGTAATGAAATGGATGAGACTAACCGGCCCGCGAGCAAATGTAGTCGTTGTCACGTTCAGGGCCATAACCGGGCAACGTGTCCATCGAGACCCTCAGAGGACCCATGACTATTAACTGAAATTCGTTGTAATCGTAGATGGAGGAATTATTTTGTAATAGAAAATTTTGATTTAATAACATTTGGAACATTTTGATTTAATAACATTTGGAACATTTGATCGTTAACATTTTGGTTAATTGCTAATGCGTTAACTCTGTTGGGATTGCAGCATGCAAGCTGTTTGCTGAAGCTGTTGGAGGACTGCAGCATGCAAGCTGTTTGCTGAAGCTTGTTTTCTGCCTGGATGCTGGTTGCTGTTTCCAGCAGAAAAGCGCTGTCTGAGACAGCGCTTTATGTTCAAGCATAACGCGCTGTCTGAGACAGCGTTTTATGTTCAAGCATAAAGCGCTGTCTGAGACAGCGCTTTATGTTGAACATATAAAATAGTTGTAGTTGAATTTTTTTTTTAAAAAAAACCCAAGGATAAAACGCTGTCCGAGAAAGCGTTTTATGCCCTACTGAATTTAAAAAAATACAGAAGGTAAAACGCTGTCCGAGACAGCGATTTACCCTGGAAGCTTAGTTTGGTAAATAGTTTTGCCACGCTACCATTTTTGTCAATAGTTTCCGTTTAAAGCTCAATTTGGTAAAACGTTCAAAAAATGGTCTCTCAAGATTACGTGATACTCCAAAATAATCAATCTTTGTCCAAAAACTATCCTCGTAAATACTTTAGACTTAGATTCGTCTCAATGTATACATAGTACTTCGTAAATACTTCATTCGATTTTTGACGTCACCTCGAAACTAGCTTATGTAATGAGATCACATTAAAAAAAAAAGGGGCATTCTTTCAAGTCTAGACAGTTGAACTTGAACACGAGCAAAGGAGCTACCACAACCTACTGAAAATCAACATTCATGCCCTCCATGAACAACGGCAAAAGCATTAGGGTTTTGTGCCCTAAACTCATCCTCCCCAGAACCAACGATGAACCTCTTCAATGGCTAATCGGATCACCATTTTTCCCTCAATTCACCATCGTTTCCACCGTCCGATGTCTTCACTACTCGCCGTCCGATTCTCTCTCTCCTGATTTCTCCAAAGAGGTAGACGATCTCAGATCACTCATAATCAGAGGATTTCATGTAATTGGAGCTTTGATTACTGGTAAAAATGGTGATTTGGTACAATTGGCGAAGCAGGCGATTACTGCTGCTAGTAAATTGAAGGAAGTTTTGTATGATGGAGAGAATTTGGGGAATTTTGATGTAATTGGCGGTGTTTCGGGTTTGAGTGGCGATGAAGTTAAGTTTTTCGTGGCGAATTCGGGGAATTTGATGAATGTGGAGGTTGTGGAGTGTGTATTGTATGAAGAGAAGCCGGAGAATTATGTTTGGGAGAGAGGGTGTTTGTTGAAATGTGAACTTCCTATTAAATTACCTGTTTATTTTCCTGCAAATAATGATTCAGGTAACTAATTTTATTGAGAAATTATTGTTACATTGTTAATTTTGTTACATATACATTGCATTTGTGTATTTGGATTGATTTCTGGAAATTTGATGGAAATTCTGGGATGTTTGATTATTTATAGTATGTGAAGTTTATTGAGTTCTTCTTTGATCAGTTATTTTGACATTACAGATTTCTTTGGAAATGGATTTTAATCTTACAATGCTTGTGCTTAGTTGAATAAATGATGTTGCTTGCGAAGGGGAACTATTCTATCACTGTGACAAAGACCTAATCAATTTTCGTGTTGCGGTTAGACGTTTAGAACTTATTTAAGCTGTTCATGCCATGGTTGATCAAAGGTTTTTTTTAATTTTTTTTTTTCTTCTTTGTAATTCTAAAATCTCAAGTACAAGCTTAGGTTATTTGTGGGTGAAATGTATACATGGATGGAAGTTACTGAATGTTGGTGGAAAAGAAGCTAAATTGAGTATTGATTAGGAATATTGCCGATGAATTTAGTAAGGAGGTTCCTGGCTATGAATGTAGCAAAATCATGGGACCGTATATATTGAGATTATGCACGTCCATGATTTATCCCACATTAGCAAAAATTGGAATGTTAATCAAGTTAATAGTTTTGTAGGATCCTTAATTTTTTCAGATTAGTGGTAACTGGTAAGTGATAAGTTATGGCTTTATTACTGAAAGAAGTTATGTTGGAGTTTCTCTTTTCTAAGTGTAAGGACTACCTTGGTGTACTCCAGATGCCATGGGCAGGTTTTTGCATGCAAATGAAGCACTGGCCACTATGTTCAGAGACCCCCAGCTCACATTCATCCTAGAAGCGTTGGACAAATTCTCAGATGCCCTACCTCGTCCTGTTGTTGTTCGTGGTTCAGAGTTGGACTTTCAAACAGACATCTCAGATATTAAGCTTTTGGATGACATTGCGAAAAAGTCCGATGGAAAGTCATTGTGCTGTTCATACTTCTGTTTAGAGAGAAAACCAGCTGTGGATGTTGAGGTAATGAATTTGATATACCTTTTCTTGGGATTTGATTTGATGAAACATGTTAGGATGTTGTTATAGGTAATTAATTATATATTATTACTAGGTAGTCTAGGTCTAAGTTAGTACATTGTTTTTTGGCTTTTATCAAAGCTGATTGTGAGCAAGGTTATTTTGTCTGAAAGTTGTTTTGCTTAGAGTGCAGATACTATTCAGGTGACTGTCCTCTTAAATAAATCGATTATATCTCCTCAATCTGTTGCGCCGGTGGCAGAATATTGTCCTGGTATTGACATTTCTTCCATTATTTCAATCTGGTTGGTGCGATCAGTATTTTTCAACCGTGCTATCGTAGTGGCAAAATTGCTTGTGATAGGTGACATTTATATCTTCTGTTTTCAGCTCCAGAGGAAGCCATACTGAGGGTTGTGGATTATAAATTGGAAGTTATTTGTTATGCCGTCAAAGATCTTCCTCTCTCACATGCAGTTTCAAAACTAATGATTCCTGCCCTACTCGACCAGTTAACAACTATGAAAAACATTATCGCACGTTCTTTCTTAGCTCAGCATCCTCAGGTACAAATTTACTTGTATAGGATATTAGGATTCTTGTTCTGTAGTTGTTTATACTTTGTAGCCTACAGAAAATGGGGATCTTTGCAATGCTATATAATTGTTATATTCTTTCTTCTGTTTGATTGGTTGTGCTGTGCTAATACCAAGGGACACACTCAACATTGCTCTGATCATTAATTCTGCTCCTTTTATGAATCACATGCATCAATGAAAGTTGTGCTTAGTGTCCTCCATTTCTGGGTTTTTTTTTGGTGTCTTTGGAACTGGATCTTAATTTTTACTGTTTACAAAATTTAATTGCTCAAAATTTGGTTCTCATTTTAATTTCTCCCCCCCCCCCCGCCTTCTATGTGCTGTAATTAGTTTCTTCATAAACAGATTCTTATTTGATTTTGATCTCTTTCAGTTAAAATTTTCACCACTTTTATTTTATTTCATTTAATTATTTTTAAACTGTGCACAATTTCTTCTGTGTTATTTGTTAATCGCAGATACGTCCATACCACTTCCGTCCCCCTGGAATTTTGCACCCAATAACAGCTATTTATGAACTGAGTTACGGTGAGACGGAACTGAAGCAAGGTACATAAAAGTGTTATAAATTGTTAGTGGGTATACAAAGCTAGCTGATTTATCTGAAACCTGCAAGCTTGCCATGGCAATAGATCCTGGCAAACTGGCCGGATAACATTAGGTATTCTAGCTATGAATTCCTAGAGTGGACTTCTGGTTCCCAACTACTGAACTACAACTACATAGTTAATTGAAGATGCAACCCAAATATGTGGGCCTGTGGGGAACATGCTCAGTTTAATTATGATCATTTCAGAGGTGTTCTTGTTTCTTAATGTTCTCATATATTCAATCTGTTTTTACAGTTGAAGCAAGGAGGTCTCTTCATCTTCGGCTGGGTTTACCTTCTGATCGCCCTCTCTTACGAGTTGCCAATGCCTTAAAAGTTGCTAAGTCCATTTCTAATGAAGGGGTTTCATCCAAGAAAGGTAACTACTGTACTTTTGAGTCTAGTTGACTTTATTTTTTGCTTCGTTGATTTTAATTGCACACCTTTCAAATTTTTTGTAGTCATCTCTCTTCCTCTATCTTGGTACATCTAAAAAATTACTCCTAAATATATGAAGTGGGATTATAGAAGTGATATTGGAGTTCCTTGTACTTGCCTCTCTGTATGCACTAACTTTTTAGGGGCGTCTTGATTGTGACTTTAGGCTATTCATTGCTGAAGGATGTACATGCTGGCATTCCTAGTAGTGGGGGTTAGTAACTTTTTTCTAATCTTTTTTTTTTAAGAATTAAATATTTTTCGTATTTTTTAACTGCATGACTTACTGTATCTGACCTTTTCATAATTTCTTTTCTATCTTGTCCATTTATTTTGTGCAGTTTCTGGGGGTCTTATGTCTCTGGTTCAAGGTTCTTATGAATATCACCACTACCTTCAAAATGGCTTTGATGACTCGGTAGTGAAATTTCCTCTCTTCTGTCTTTAATTTTGTTAATAATGAAAAATGATGCAGTGTTAATGATTATTTATACCTGGAGTGAGTGAATATCAAAGCCAATTAATTTATACAGTATGAACATATGTGTTGAATGTAAAGGTTAACTTGAAAATAAGGGCCGGGGGGGGGGGGATTAGCCTAGTATTCTAATATACTCACCAATATCAGCAAATTCGTGTGGTAGCTGTTGAGAAGATTTTGTTATCTCTAATTATAGATGCGGAAATTCTTTCTTAGTTTGTTGTTGCTGCCGCATCTATTGTAGACGGGTGATATCTTTTGATTTCCAATATTATGAAGTCAAGATACAATTAATTATTTAATTTCCTGCTGTCTGCCTCTGCCTGGACTGCTTCCCAGCTTCTGGACAGTTTCATGTAACTTTTAAGTAAGCTGCAGTTTTGCAGGGGAGGATAGGCCTTGATGATGCAATGTTAGGATTCAATTCTTGGCTTTGTAATTGGGCACATACCCTGATGCCTGCCCTTGTATAGTGCCTTAAGATATCAAAGTTGATATGATTTAATGAGACATTCACTATTTGGAAATTGAAAGATGAGATGGAAATGTTTTTGTGTAATTGCAAATTTGCAATCTATAGTTGCTCTGGGGAAATGTGGAGGGTTGCTCAGGAACCATGTAGAAGGGTCGCTCTCAAATATATAGCTGTCTGTTTGGAGTTCATATAATGCTTTGCTGATTACCATTTTTGCCATTTTTTTTTTTAATCCCCTCTGACAAATTAGTTTCTTAAAAATTGTGCTAGGGGTGGGGATGTGCTTATCGCTCATTACAGACCATAATATCTTGGTTCAGACTCCAGCATTATACTTCAATTGATGTTCCAACTCATAGGTGAGAAATTCTAAAAAAGTTACTGGGATTTATATATATATATGTTGATCAATGATCCCTCATAGATTATAGCATCTTAATTATCGGAGGTTGCATTTTTCTGTGTTATTTTGCTCAGGGAGATACAGGAGGCACTAGTGGAGATTGGTGATAAAGATCCTTCTTTCATTGGATCACGTGAGTGGATTGGTGCCATTGAGTTAAGCTATGTGCTGGACAAACTATTGGGTGTAAGTGTGATAGTCAACTTTTCGTACTTGTTTACTTTAGTTTCATATGCACTCATGTCTATTTTCTTTGTTGTATATTATTGGCGAAGAATTTTTGTTTCTATACCATCTCTCAGAGATGGTGGGCAGCCATTCTTTAAAAATGACTTATGAGTCATCATGTGTTATGGACAAGTTATTGAATGTCTCTGTGTTTTAATTTAATCACCTTTATACAAGGGCAATGTGATTTCATTGTCAAAGCATTAGTGGGTTTACGCCTATTCCATTGAATTTTGTGCTGCAAGGCTGAGTTGGTGACATGGCTTCAAGAATTCAAAAGATAAGCATATATATGATTATTATCAAACAAGAGGTGAAGACTTTTTTTTTTTTCTCAACAGGTTACCTGCAAGGTCATGAATGTAAGATCTGGAGCTGAACTTCCTGAGAAATGTCGAGAGTTAGCCTTGCATTTTGAGAACCAAGGAACACCCATCATGATTGGTAATTTTTTTGGCATCCTCATCCCCTTGTTTCTAGTCTGTGTAAAGATTATATATGATGAAGGAATTGGAGAGGGTGATTTGTACTTGCATGTCACTTTATTAACAGTTTCCACGAGGAAATTCAGAAAATGGTTTAAAGTATAAATGATTTCCCAAGTTGGCAAAGTAAAAAAATCAAGAAATTTGGATGTTCATCTCTGTAAAAATACTGAGCCATCATTAGCATATGTTAGTATTCTTAATGAGGATAGTTCCTAGTTGGTTGTGTTGCCAGTTTCTTGATATCATAACTACAGTCTAAAATGTATACACTATAAACAGCTAATTGACCACAACCTCTATCCAGCCTATTTTGATCAACCTAAGCAAGTATTGCTTTCATTTCTAAGGTTCTCTCTTGGTCACCTTTGTTGAGCAAAAAAATTGTGATTCAGTAAATTTTCTGCATGCAATCTCTAAGACGAGCCACATGAACTTTCTTATTGTCTTGATGACTTATGAATTGTAACTTTCAAGATTGGTGTTGAAAGCACTGCCTATCTCTTGTCACTTTATGTATATTGGTAAGCTTGGCTTTCAATGGTTGCAGCCTCGATGACTTTGAGGTAATGGTATATTGGTATTGACTGTAAAAGTTATTAGGAACCTTCAGTTCAGATTAATGCTGTTTCGTTGATAATGCTCCTCTCCTTGGTCAAATTACACAGTTGCAACTGAGCAATTTGAAAAGTAATATTGTTTCAAAATGTCACAATAAAAAAAACTAATTGGCTTTCTTAATCTGAGTTTACCAACAAATGCAGGTGGTGGTGTCCTCGCATATACACTTCTAGGAGTTGACTACAATGATGCAAGTGGTGATTGTGCGTTCCTAATCTTGGATCCTCATTACACTGGCGGTGAAGATCTAAAGAAAATTGTAAATGGTGGTTGGTGTGGGTGGAAAAAGGCTATTGATAGCAAGGGAAAGAGTTTCTTCTTAGCCGATAAGTTCTACAATCTATTGCTGCCACAAAGACCGAACATGGTTTAGCTGTCTATCTGGTAGTGAAATACATCGCTTGTGACTCAGAGAGATAACTACTGCTAGCTTAAATTAAGTTCCTGGATCTTTACTGCATAGAACCACCCTTTTCATTAGCAACGTTTTGAGGGTTAGCGAATCTTCCCAGCTCCTATTAATTTCATTAGGCAACATCATACTTAGCTAAGACGCTGGTTTTGTACAGTGCCCAAGGTTGTCTTCCAATTCTTGTACACAAAGCTGTGAGGGAGATGAGGTTATAACTTTGGAGATCTTATTTGTCTTCATGTAGAGTTTGGTTCTTCATGTGCTATTATTTATGTTTCTCTAAAGTTATGGTAGTACTTACTATTCAATGAAATAGATAATGTTAAGTTTCATATCATTGTTGTTAACTTGTCTCATTGTTCCATATTTTAATTCAAGGGTAAAAGCAAAAGATATATGGAAGTACCCAAAAGGGGAAATATAAAATAAATTAAACATTAAATTATACTGATTGTATGTGATTTTATCCTGCATTCTTGAACTAATAACATGATTCAAGTATGTAATAAATGATTATGTGAAATTGTGGTTGCATATACTCTGTAGCATTATTCAGGTAACACAAAATATTTGTCAAAGGAGTATATTGCTAATTACCAAATGAAGTTAAGATATTAACGGTGATAATTGTGTATAACTCGTATTATGCAGTAGCCAATTTAGTTGGTTAAAATTTTAAGAAATGATATCTAAAATACGAAATAAAATCTTAGCTCTAGCATTTGTCTTTTCTGATTTTTTTTTTTTTTTCAAAAAAAAGCATACTACGCAAAATATCCTTATTCCTGTTGAAAATCCCCTTTAATAAACACTACGGAGTTAGGCAATGAGGAAACTAACTCCTGCGTTTCGTCAAAAAGAAAGAGAGCATTTTATTTTTTTATTTTTTGACAGAAGAAATAGAGCATTTTGAGAAAGCAAAGAGCTTCAGAGCCCAGAAGCTTTATGGTGAGGACCTATTTATTGCAATTTAAACAGATTTTTAGCAAAGGGTTCTACTGTTGACTCTTTTAATACTGTGGTTATATAAATTTTCTTAGTGTTATGTGCTTGCCTACCAAGTGTTCGACAAAATGCCCAACTGAAACTCAGCTGATAGTATGATACTAGTAACAACTATTGATTTGTAAGAAAAACTGATCACTCAATCTTACTGGGGTTCTTCAAAGTTCAATTCTTCGTGCAAAACAAGGTGTGAAATTTCCAGTAGAATAACAATAATGGCTCTAATGAGCCATAATCTTCCTTATTTCACATTCCTAAACTTCAATCACAATTCACTTCTCTTTCCTAATTCCTCCATCTTTAATGGCGGGACTCAAAGATTCAAACTTTTTTCTCTCTCCTCAGTACCTCCTCCTCCTTCTTCTAATCCATGTTCTTCCTCTGTATCTACACCCCCCATTTTTCTTCCTTACCTTGAAGAAGAAGAGGAGGTTGAAGAAGAAGAGCAAAACGAGAAATACCCAGATGACCCAATTTACAGATTCTTCAAATCCCGAAATTCAACTCAAGACCCGCCTCGGGAATCCAGGTTAACCCTCCAGAAAAAACGTCGAACTGCTTGGCATTTGGCTGATGACAATGAGGACACCGAAACCGAAACCGAAATCGGATTCGAGCTTATGGGCGAAAGAATAGAGGAGAGGAATGAATTGGGTGATGATGAGAGGCCTGAGATTGAGGGTATTGTAGGGGAAATATTGGGAATTGCGAGGAATTTACCGGAGAATTCGACGTTGGGAGAGGAGTTGAGTGGATATGAAGGAGTAGGGGAGACAGAATGTGTGGAGGTGTTGGAGTTTATGATTCAAGAAGGTATGATGATGAGTTGCTTGTATTTTTATGAGTGGATGGGGTTGCAGGAACCCTCTATGGTTACTCCTAGAGCTTGTTCTGTGTTGTTTCCTGCATTGGGGAGGGCTAGGATGGGTGGTAAGCTGATGATTTTGTGGAGGAATTTGCCTGATTCGAGCGATTTTAGGGATGTTCATGTTTATAATGCTGCAATGTCTGGGCTATTAACCAGTGGAAGGTACATCTTTACATACTTTTATGATAGTTTTTGGAAATATTGATTAATCAGCCAATCAGAGAGTTTGATTTTGATATTTTATCTTGTTTTGTGCTGCATTTTAGTTCTGCTTAGATGAATGATTATAATCTATACTTGTTTCGGTGGAAAGTTAATGCACTCATCAAACCCAAAGCTAGGGTTATGATTTAACAGTATAAATTTTCCCTTTGTGTTTGGCTAAATTGAATTTGCCATACATTCAATGCTGACTATTTTGCCAGTTGGTTTTGCCCAAGCCTTGGTTTTAAATAGAAAAATACCTTTTCAAACAATAAGGGCACAGCTATGTTATTCAGACTCCGTTCTTGTGTTAGACACGGGTATTTTGTGCAAAATTTCCATGAAATTGATTTGGTCCCAAATGAAGCGTCAAAATGTCCATATAAAACTATCCTGTATTCCAATAATTTTCTACAAAATATTACTCGTTATTTTTTTTGCAGTGCTTTCATAATTCCAAAAATATTTATGTTTCCATATTGCACAATTGTGACTATCTTCTCCCTTGTACTTAATTTAGTTGGTAGGTGGTATTTAGAACTTGGAAGAAGGGGATTGGAAGGAAATTGTCAGTGTCTTGGGTACTCTTTTATTTTTTTTTAATTTTTTGTCTGTTCTGACTTCTGATAGCTTTAATGTCGGCAAGCTTAGTGTGTAGGAAAGTCATCTAACATAATAGTATGGCATGTCAAGCGTCTTGTAGATGCACCTAAATGAGAATTGGAGATGCTTACCGGTGCTGCTTCTCATTGTATGCTTGTGGCAATGATATTGATATGACTAATTTTAGGGTTTGAGGGGAGGGTTTGGAAAGAGGATTTAGTCAATAATGGAAACAATGTCATGGGTTAGGTCTTAGGTGTATAGGTGTACTGTTGTTGGATTATAGAAGTGTCATCCATGCACTCATGCAGTCTCTCGTTGATGCATACGGCTTGCTCAAATCTTGTTTCCTGCAGAGAATTTGAGAACTGTGTTCAAAATATTATTATTTTTTGGATTTATAACACAGATGTTTATTGTAGGTATCAAGATGCTTGGAAGGTGTATGAGGAAATGGAGATGAATAATATCCTCCCAGATCGTGTGACAGGTTCTACTATGATTACTGTCATGAGAAAGGAAGGCAGAAAAGCCAAAGATGCATGGGAATTTTTCGAAAGAATGAATAGAAAAGGAATCAAATGGAGTTTAGAGGTTGTAGGAGCTCTGATCAAATCATTTTGTGATGAGGGATTGCAGAAACAAGCCTTGATCATTCAGGGAGAGATGGAGAAGAAAGGAATTTCCTCGAATACCATAATATATAACACCCTTATAGATGCTTATTGTAAATCCAACCAGCTTGAAGAAGCTGAAGCTCTCTTTGTTGAAATGAAGACCAAAGGCCTTTCGCCTTCAACTGCCACCTACAATATTTTTATGAATGCTTACAGCAAAAGGATGCAACCAGAGGTTGTGGAGAATATTCTTGAGGAAATGCAGAACACTGGCCTAGAACCAAATGTCAAATCATACACAAATCTGATTAGTGCATATGGGAGACAGAAGAAGATGAGTGATATGGCTGCTGATGCATTCTTGAGGATGAAAAAAGCTGGTATAAAGCCAACTTCTCATTCCTATACTGCCCTGATTCATGCATATTCAATTAGTGGTTGGCATGAAAAAGCATATAAAGCATTTGAGAACATGCGGAGGGAAGGAATTAAACCCTCTATAGAAACATATACTGCTCTTCTTGATGCATTCAGGCGAGCTGGGGATGTACAAACATTAAAGGAAATATGGAAATCCATGATTCAGGAGAAAATTGAAGGGACTCGGGTAACCTTCAACATTCTTCTTGATGGATTTGCAAAGCAGGGTCATTATGTGGAAGCAAGGGATGTTATCTGTGAATTTGGAAAGATCGGTTTCCAACCAACAGTGATAACATATAATATGCTAATAAATGCATATGCACGAGGAGGACAAGATTTAAAGTTGCCGCAGTTATTGAAGGAGATGATTGCTCTAAACTTGAAGCCTGATTCTGTTACATACGCCACTATGATCTATGCTTTTGTTCGTGTTCGTGATTTCAAAAGGGCTTTTTATTACCACAAACAGATGGTTAAAAGTGGGCAAATCCCAGATGCTGAATCGTATCAGAAGCTCAGATCAATTTTGAACGTAAAAGCGGCTGTAAAGAACAAGAAGGACAAGAGTGCCATACTTGGTATAGTTAATAGCAAAATGGGTATGGTGAAAGATAAAAGGAAAGTTCAGAAAGATGAATTCTGGAAGAACAAGAAGAAAAATGTGAGATTTCACAATCCTGATCATGTTGGACGATGAGTTACAGTCCAGCTTGTGCTAAAACTTCTTACAAGTCAACTGGAAATTCGGGGTAATACTCAAACCTTGGGGATACTAAAGTGCTTTTCTTGGCTCAGTCAGCTTTCCCTGTGTCTTGCGTGCCTGAAACTGTAAGGCTAGATAGCTAACAATCTGCACAAAGTCAAGTACAATGTCCATGATCAACTTGGACCTCTTCTCTTTTCATGTATATTTTTTATATGTATTTCTGTTGTAGTGTATAGAATTAAATGGAAAGGTATAAACAACTGTTCTGAATTGCCGACTGTTTTTTGCTGATGGCTTCATGTTTTCCTTCACATGCCTTGAATGTCATGTCACATGTAGTTTGCTATCTTCCCCCTGAATAAATGGACTACTTTACTCATGCTGATGCCTGATGCTGTTATTTCTGTTATTTGGTTTTGGCGACTGCCATAATATATGTGTTCAGACAGAATCTGTAAAATCAAGCATTGTTTTCTGTATGTGTATTTACTGTACCAGCTTTTCTAGTAAAACCTAATTCCGCTGTTATACAATCTGAAGTTACTCTAATGTTTAGATTTTCGCTCAAATTTTGATCATTTAAGGATGAATTAAACTTCATATCGTATTTCTTGAAAGGCAGCAATTGCCATAAAAAAAAAAAATTAAATAAATAGATAAAAAATAATAAAAAAGGTTTGTGCAATTTGTAAGGAATAAGGTTTAAGCTTAAGGTAAACAATACTCCCACATGTAAAGACTTTTTGCAAAAGTAATTGTCACGTAAAAATTTATATGCTTTTCATTTTTTTCTTGTTACGAAACTAAGATGTAACTAATATCATTTTCTCACATGATTTTTATCATGCTCTATTTTCTCACGATTTGTCATGCTCTATTTTCTCACATGATTTATCATGTTTCCAAGAGCATGATGGACATTGTGCTCCCTTGAAATAATTTAATAAGAAATTTGATAAACGAATATCTCAACTTTATTCCTAAATTAACACATGCATTCGAAATAAGATATCATGTACTTAGTAGGATAAAAAGAACATTAATGCATCATGTTTTTACTTTGTAGGTTTTATTTTAGTTTTGTTGTAATAACACAATCATCATAATTAGTAGCTTATTAACGCATCATGCTATCATGTAATATAAAACTCCGTAATTATTATTGTTATCCTATTATGTAATCATAGTAATTTAGTCTATTTCACGAACAATGAAACATAAAAATTGCATGTGTCTGCATGAGGTGCCTATAGATATACGAAGTAATTCATAAACCTAATGCAGATTTAACAAAATTTAGAAATACACAAATATGGAGAATTGTCATACCGAGGCTCTTAAAAATGGAAAATTTTCCAATTTATATATTTCTCTAATATGCAAGATTTAGTGACATCAACTACTCTTGAATCTTCGAAATTAAGTTTTAAAAAGAAGGAAATTAACATCATTAAATTAACAAGGTTAATGGCGATAACTTTTTTTGTTTTGTTCAGGAAGTCGCAAACTCGCATGTATAGACGTTGTTTAATCTCAATTTTATGTACTACTCTAAAGACTTCAACCTTAAAATAGTTTACACTTATACTCAAAAGAGAACTTGTTGTCGTCACATACCTCAATGCATAAGTTTAGAAGTGTATTTTGTACTTATTTTTTTTTACAACAACACCCTGTACTTGATGTTAATTATATGATACCAAAATTAGTTTCATTTTCTAGGATAATAAACATAATAACTTACCTAGATAATAAGCTAGGGTATTTTGGGTTGGAATAACTCAATCACCTAATCTATTTATAATAAGGGCACTACTAGTATATATAGTGTTATACCATTAAGAATAACCTAATCTATGTACCGAATATTATTACAAAGAGGTTTCCTAAGTTATGTTTTTTTTTTTTTTGATGGGTCCTAAGTTATGTCAGCAAGGTGGTAATAAAAATAAATCAAATAAATCATCATAAAACTAATGACGCAATTGTAACACATATAGAGGTACATGTAAATTGAATTCAAACATTCTCGAATACATTAAAATTTGAAATTGAGATTAATCTTCATCAAATTAACATGTTTAAAGAAGAATTTCTTGACAATTTTGGTGTGCGAGTATTCTCAATCAAAAACTTTATTTGATCTGGTGAGGGTAATGCTATATCTCGAAAATTGCCACCAAGCACAAATTAAATTAGTTGACATTCAAACAAAAGCTTGTTGTCATATGCTTCAATGTTGTTGCTAAAAGTTTTTGTTGTATAAATGTCAGATGATACCAAATATTGTTTCATTGCCAAATCTTAATAGTTAATCTATGATAACAAGGTTGTAGTTATGCTCAAAACAATGAGTTTAAGTCTTTATTTATCAACTTTAATATGTTTGTAACAAACATTCTAAAGAGTTAAATGAGATCATTTGACCCCTCAGCTCTACTTTGGACATAACACTCTCCTCTTGACACTATAATGTAGGAATAAGAAAGATAACATCTAAAAATTATTGGAATATAATATGAGATTTAGGTATGACGACAAAATTTTTACAACATGCATTTAATTAGGAGTCTCTATCTTTGTAATTTGTTAATTTTACTTCATACTCATTAACTCAATTTCATTTCGTTAATCTCTTCTAAACAATATAACTGATTCGTTAAAACAATGATATTAAAAGCATATATTAACATAAACACCGACATTTAACATTATTATGAATGTATTATTACGAATTCAAACATGTATATCCAAATTACAACCAATTTTTCTACACATTAGATCAATTTTAACATGGATATTACCAAAGCCCTATCCAAAAGAATCATATCCTCTCTTAATTAGGTAATAAAAATCAAAGAGATCAATTATTTTTCTTAACCCTTAAACTAGCACACCACCTTTACTCAATTGGATAGAACTAATCCTATCCACCAAATTTACCCCTATTACCCCTCCTCTCCTCCAACCCAACATTCTTAAAAAAGGGCATTTTAGTACTTTCACAACCACACCACCCAAACTCAATTAACACACACCACGTGGAAAAAAACAACAGGACATCAAATACAAAGCAAGACCAAAAATTACCACGTGGCAACCCCAAATAAAAAAAATCAAAAAATTTTAAAATTAATAAAAAATAAAAACTCCCCTAAAAATAACCTGCTGACGTGTACAGTATATCATAGCCTCCCTATAAATAGACCCATATTTTTCTTTCATTCTCATCCATTTCTCTTAAACTTTCTCTCTCTAAAACCGATTAGAACGACAACACTCAGACACATACACATACCACCCTCACTACTCATCTTGTATCTCTTCTGAGTTTTTCTCTCTCTTCCCCCAATTTTCTAGGGTTTCTGATTCATTCGATTTCTCTCTCTTCGATTTTATTCCGAAGATCTTGTGATTTTTTTTTATTTGATTTTACTTTTTTTTGGCTGTCTTGGCTCGAGATCCGGGCCAAGTACAGAAACGGAGGAATTTGAGTGTTGGATTTCGATCGGTTTTGCTTGAGTTTTATGCTGTTGTAATCATTTTCAGGTAATTTTTTTAATTTTGTTTTGGTTGAATCTTCATTTTTATTGTTATTGATTTTGTATTTTGATTGATTAAAATAATAAATTGCATTTTTTTTTATGTTGTGTGTGTTTCTGAAATTATACATGTATTTACATATTAAGAGAAATGTGGATTTTTGTGTTTTTGAAATTTTTGATGATGATAAAAATATAGTGATCTTGGATAAAGTGTGTGTGAATTAATTTTTGTGTGATTTTCCGACATTTTTTTTTCATTTGGATATGATGTTAGAGTTAGGAATTTTGGAGAAAGTTGAATTTGATTTTGGTTGGTATGGATTGTGTGATGATTGTTGGTGATTTGTGTGAAATTTTTAGGGATTGGAGAAATGGCGTCAAACGAAGGATTCTTAACGGAAGAGCAGAGGGAGAGGATGAAGATAGCTTCGGAGAATTCAGTACCGGCTCCTTCGAAGTTGTTATCATCATCGCCTAAGGGTTTATTGTCTTCGCCGAAATCGACTACATTCCTCTCTGATCACCGTGGGAAAGGTGGAGGTGGTGGTGGTAAGGCGCCTTGTGTGAAACCTCGTCATTCGGGGAAGGTTGTTAGAGTCAAGAAGGGTGAGTAAAATTTTATTCAAAATGCTGTTAGTTAATTTCCATTGATTTCTTCTGGTATTAGTGATTGTGATTAATCTGCCAATTTTGTACGTGTTGTATGTTTATTTAGGTTGATTGATACACTATTTTGTAGGATAGAGTACTGCTTTAAACAGTGAAGATGAAAATCACTCTTTTATGTGTTAATATTAATCCTTTCCCTTTTTATGCGTGATCGCAATTTAATGGAGTTTATGAGGATTATTGAACAACTTTGAGTGATTTCAATATATATCTCGAACTTATGTTCACACTTCCTCCGTTCTTATTTTAATCTTTTTTAATCGAAACATTGGAAATTTTACACTATTCACATAAGCAACTTTGACCATCTTTTCTGATTTATGCCTTAGGAAAATATATTTTTTAGATTTGTCATTATGTGTTCTGCTAATAAACTTCCTCCATTTCTTTAGTTACGTTTTTCAATGTACAAATTCAACCATTAATAGCTTTAATTATCATTATCGATAAGCAAAAATTATTAAAAGTTGGTTTTTTGAAAATACATATCGTGACGAATCTAACAAGACCCCATATGACTCTATTTTTCATCACGTAAAAAATCACAAAACACGATTGAAGGGAAGTGTGTGAATAATGCTAAAGTCAAAATGTGTCAACTTAAAAAAATAGAGGCAGTATTATCTTCTTATAATATTTACTTAAGTAAAATTTAAAATGTCAATGATGTAAAATGTGCCTTGGCAAGAATGAAACCTGTGTTAGAATGAGAAAAGAATAGAGGAAGTACATGCATCTCTTACTTAATTTTGCTTGCAATATTGTGGTTTCCTTGTTTTACTTGATTATGAGGTGTTAACAATTGGTGGCACTCTTTGTTAATAGAGTTGTTGCTTTTGAGAATCTGGAGTTTTTATTATAACTCTCCCCCTTTTTTTGTTTTCTGGATGGTCTTACCATTTGTGGCTTTTAGAATAATAGATAACTAGTATATGTATATCTGCTGGGGATTTTGTGATGTTGTGACGTGTTCATAAGTGTTCAGTCAATTCTGGGATGGAGGGATTAATCTATGGGATAGTAGACTGGAATATGCAATATGAAGAACTGGTACTGTATAATATACATACAGAACAAAGCCGGAATACTGTATAACTTTTGGAAGTTTGATTCTAGGGGTAACTTTTGTCAATGACTACACGGAATTAAGGCTACCCCACTTATG